CAGTCTTTGGAACCGTTCGTCCATTCGCAAACTAACTCGCACCCAGAAGCCGGACGGTGGCATTTTCTTTATGGGTCGGTTGCTCAGATACTGGGCAAGCAGGCAGTAGGCGACAGGTTTGAGTTGATATGTTGTGTCCGGTGTGCAATGAGCTCACCTGGAAGTGGGCACCTTCAAGAAGGCCGCTGGCAACCCACGGGTTGGCTGGGTCTACTCATGTCGCAGCTGCCGAAGCCAGAACAGAACGCATCCCTGGGCTGGCTACCATGTGAAGAGGTTCTGGCAGTACTTCCAACACCTTGACCTCGACGTCGTCAGGATTGCCGTGGACGATTACATGACTCGTCACACAAAATCATGCCACGATGATTTTCACGACAAGTACAACCTGGAGGTCGGCAATGGGGTGGGGTCCCTTGGGCTAAGGCTTGTCCATCCCACCATTGCCAGGAACTGGACTACGGAGTCGCGTGGCAGATTCACTGAATGCTTCCTGGCAGACTTGACCGACGACAAAGTATGGATCCGAGTCGTGTTTGTGAACTTCCTGTACCACCTTCACGAGGCGTGCGTACTAACAGGCATGGACAGCTATCACGCAGCGCTGATGATGTTTGGAACTACTTTCTGCGAGGACAGCAGCGTGAAGCAGAACTTTTGGGCGGGCAATAGACCAGACCTTTGGCCTGGGGTCCTGGAATTGCTGCTCTTTGCGGCAGATTTTACCTGCTGCCTTGGCTTCGCATCTGCGCTGGCCTGGCTCGGACATAAGATAGCCATGGCGCCAAAACCACCTTTTCGCAGATGATACAGCCCGGAATTATGAATTTGCTATGTTCGGGCAAAGGAGCGCCCAACAAAGGCATGTGCGCATCGAACATGTTCAAGAAGAAAGAGTCTTCAAAACCGCAACCACTGAACGCTTAGGCTTGTGAATTTTGCAACCTGGACACACATCCCCCATAAAGAAGCACTGTGCAGCCTTCCGGTACAGCTTCAGCTGGACAGCGTTGCAGTGCCACCACGCGTGGATAGTACCGCACACAGAAAGTGTAGTTGGGGGAGTGCATCCATTGCTTCGTCCTGGGCAGGGAGCGAGGGACTGCGACCTTGCTCGGTTTTCGGGATGTTTTTCCAAGCAGCAGAAACTGTTACACTTGTTCAACAATAATAAATACATGTCACGGCACTGAAGAATGACGTCATCCGGATGCTTCGGCTGGGACCAAAACCGATCCTGGATCTGATCATCGGCCAGTCCTTCTGTCACTGTGAGGACTGAAGGAGAGGAGACATTGGAACACGGAACTACTGCACTGCGGCGTTGCCTGCTGCTACCGATTCGATGTATGAATGGTCAAGACTGTCTGTGTGTGAGGTTCGTCTGACACTGACTGACAGACTGGTTGGGTCGGACGTCAAAGTCTTGTGAAGTTAGGAGACTGCTCAGCTCCTGTGTTCACGCGACGCTCGAGGAGAAACTCGTGGGGAGCACCGGGGCCCCCTATTCCTTTCAAGGAAACCGGCACTGCAGCGGCCATGAAAGACTTCCTCAGACGCGAGCTGAAGAGTGTTGAACAAGTCAGATCCTTCAATTTATGATGACCAATACCTGGACAGGACAAGCCTGGTCAGCTCTCGTTTAGGATTCAAACAAAGCATCAACTCAACGACAACGACACCACATGCAGCCCAGAAGCCAGTCACGGACTCGGCTGATGCGCACCACTGCCCGCTCTTTCTCGTGCGGGCGCGGGAGCTCCTCAAGGAAGTTCGCGAGGTGCTGCTGGAAGCTGTCCGAACTTTCTGCTTTGGCGGCTTTCTTCACAAGGTACGCTGCGCAACTTCCAAAAGCTTGGTCAATATCCTCATGGCTGTGGCCGCTTCGCAAATTGCAAAGCCTCGCGGCCCGTAGGATCCGTCTGCTTACCAAGGATGCCATCCATCGTAACGTCTGATTATTCTTTAATTCGCGACAACAATTATCGCATTGCACGGTGAGCCGCATGTTCTGGAGCTTGCAGCCGCTTGCTTGCACGCGGGTTAGCACGTGTGACAGCAGTTCGAGCTGAGTACTGCTGTCTTTTGGAACCGTGGGCTCCGTGAGTGCTAGGGCCATGAGATGGCCATGGGCCAGCACGCCTACTATATGCAAACGAGGCCTGGCTGATGTCAGAGTCTCGAAGCACTTCGCCGCCAAGAAAGGATGACGCGGGCATGCAAATTTGGATTGATCCATCCCGTCCTGTATCACGACGAGCTCCTCTGTATTCAGCCGCGAGCTCGCCCGGCTTTGCCAATATATTGGACCCGGTCCAAATATTGGGACCGCAAATGCGCTTCCAAGAGATGTTGTTGCGCGCATCTTGCGGCGATGTGCCTGCTGTATGACTGAATAAGGCTTTGATGTAGCAAGCATTCAGAGCATACAGCGTGTGAAGTGGAGGCACGAAACTTCATGAAAGGAAAGAGCGACAGCCACACCTGGCATGAGCTTCTAAGCCCTTCAGCAAATTAAATTCAGATTCAGATTCAGATTCAGGTGAGTCCCGTGATGTAAGTCCACGTTCAACTTATCTTCACGTCTTGCACAAAATGTTTACTGCGCACCAGACTTCAACCAGGAGTCCACGCGTCACCAAAATTTAGAGACAACCTTACTTGGAATGGAAACCGAGGCACCCTCCAGAACGTCACAAAAGACGCCGGCGGCTGCACCCCAGCTTGCAGCTTGTACTGCCCCCAGTAATGGACCATCTTGCCAGGAGGCAAGAAGCACTCTTCGCCTTTCGCAGTCCTCTCCGCCAAAGCCGTCACGGTTTTCTTGACCTTAGCCTGGCCAAAGCGCTTGTTCCCGGCCTTTTCCAAGCCAGCACCAGCAGCAGACAGCTGAGGCTGTGTTTGCCTGTTCAGCTCTGTAGTGTAAGGGTCCTCGGCAAGGTCGTACTCGGTATGGCCCCTCAACAGCAAAGGCAGATCATCCTCATCTTGTGTCGAGTCCCGGACGTCCGGCATGGTCTCCGCAACGGACTCGTAGAGCTTCTGCAGGAAGCTTGTAACATCAGCTCGAATTTCCCTCGTTTCACTCTTCAATGAAAACGGCTTGCTGATGTATCGCTTGTCGACAGGGGCGTTGTTCTTCCCAGCCATTACTGCATCGTGCAGTGAAGCGAGCCGCACCTTGGATTATTAGAATTCCGGAAACTGTTGAAAGGCCAAGGCTGGGGGTGGAGATGAGAAATGCAGCATGAAGCCTCAAGCATCAAAACCTACAGTGCAGTTTAACACAGACCTCGGACAGTACGAAAAATATAGTTGTCTAAGGCACCCAGTCCGTAGAGCCTCGTCCGAGCTCTTTTGCAAACACGCCTGTCCAGGAAAAAGAACTTCACGGGCCCCAGCTCGCGGCCATCATCATCATCATGATTACCATGCTCAGTCTTCTTGTAGATGCTGCGGAGGGACTCGAAAACCTGAGACAATCAATAATCATTCAGTCAAATAGCAATGAAGTACGCGAGAATAACCGCGTCGGATTCAAGTCATTATAAAAATTAATGCGGCCGCAGAACGGCCTCATCTTGGTCCAACTTATGCATGGAAGCCCAGTCGGAACGAAACTTCACCAGGCGCTCAAAGTCCTCGCGCTCCTGAAAAGCGGCGAAACACCTGAGGCCACAATGCTGTCGCTTGCGGCAGGGCTGGTGAAGCATCCGCTCCAATCGTTGGACGGAGCCCATTTTGTCACGCCGTTCCTGCAGCGTTGGCCGCCGCTTGGCTTTCTTCTGGGACCTTGCCTTTGGCGCCGGCTGGACGGTCTCTGCATCGCTTGACGTCAACTCCGTCAGAGCACGGTCTGTGCTGCCGGTTTTCTGCCGTTTCAGGGCCGGCTGCAGAACACGATCTCCGCTGCCAGATGCCGCCTCACTGCCGGCTTCAGATTCAACAGTTCCCTGCCTCTTGAGGAGAGGCTGCAGAACACGATCTCCGCTGCCAGATGCCGGCTCGCTGCCGGCTTCAGATTCAACAGTTCTCTGCCTCTTGAGGATAGGCTGAACACGCCTGGAACGCCCAACCGCATGTTTATTTCCGTGTGTCTTGCATTTTCCCAATGTTTGGGAAAGCACGTATAGAAATCGTTGTTGTCAGTGATCACGTATGGAAATAAACGTGTCGCGCGGAAATCCTTGTATGCATGCATGATCTCGAAAGTTCTTGATCGAGCTGGCCGTGGCTTGCCCAGCGATGAGGCCGGGCCGATCTTCGGGTTTTCATGCATATACATGTATGTATGCTATCCTATACATACACGTGTATGCCGTGCCTCTCATTTGTACATATGCATACATGTTATATACATAGACCCACACAGATACACATACATGCATATACATACATACATACATACATACATACATACATACATACATACATATACATCTGTACATATAGAACATGCACACATGCACACATGGATCTATAACGTATATCTGTGTATACGACTTATACACTCGTATTATATATGGGTTATATATATATATATATATATATATATATATTATATATACATATGGAATTGAAGGAGTCTATAATATATAGTATATACTGTAGGAATAAATAAGGATGAAGATGAAGAAGATCGGGCCCGGGTAGATCGTGGTCGCCTGCCAGGGGCTCCCGGGAGCTCTACGCAGGGGTGTCCCCGGCTGGTTTAGGGTTTCCCTGTGTCGCTCTCTCTCTCTCTCTCTCTCTCTCTCTCTCTCTCTCTCTCTCTCTCTCTCTCTCTCTCTCTCTCTCTCTCTGTATCTTTCCCTATGTGTGTGCGATTGTCTGTGCTAGACGTGCATGACATCTCTTTGCAGCTACATGGCTTCTGCGCACAGTGTGCAGAGAGGGATGGGGTTGATTGGAATAGATCGGTCGACTGATACGAAGTATAATCGCAATTGGAGGTTGCAGTGTGTAATTTGGGGATGCACAAGATTCGTTTTCGCTCAGCTATGTCGTCTTCGACTTTGGGCAGCAGCGAGCTGCCAAAGTCTGGCCTCAGTTACGATTGGTTTAAGCTCGAGGGTGTATCAGAACGGGGAGCTGGAGGACGATTGGTGGTCGCACCGGGCGTACTCACACGGCCGGACTTGGACTTCAATTGGAACATAGTAGCAGCGGCAATGGGCTACCTAGGAGCACGCCCTTCGGTGGACACTCTCGAGGATGAAGTCGATCATTTCTTTCAGCGCTGCAGACAGCGGGGAAAGAAACCTGTTTGTCGTAACATGGCTTCAAGGAAGATCAATGATTGTGGGTGTTAGCCATATATATGTGTCTGTGTTGTGCTGAGAACGAGTGATAACCGAGGCAATTTTTGTCGCAACCAAGCCTGGCGAGTTCGGAACTTGATTTCTATGTTCAACAGGATTGTCAAGCTCCCTCACCGCCCACAAGAAGAGAACATTCGCAAGATCTACGTGCATTTGGGGATTCCGATTCCGCCTGGTACTTTACCTGCAAAAAAGAGTAAATCATGTTGAGTGGTTTTAGTCGATGTTCCTACAATTCCCTACCGCCACTACACCCAGGACGGCAGCCGCGATCCAATGAGATCCTTGATGAGTCGGCCGGATGTGAAGAGGTCCGACTTACTTGAGCCGTTCAGTTCGAAAGCATCTTTGATTCAGACTTTGTCGGTGACAGGTTGGCTACGCTGAATGTGTTGAATCGGAAGCAGGGACTGAGGATGAGGAGTGTGACCCAGCGGACTTTGAAGTCGCGCCGTTCCCTCCCCCGCAAGCCTCCCCAGAGAAGCCTGCCGATTTGAAGAAAGCCTCTCCAAGAAGCTTTGCAATGATTTATGTGGTTCGTTAAATTTGCATGAGCTGCAGTGTTAACTTATATAAACTACATTGGTCTATGCATGCCTGCTCCCAGGAAGCTCGCCATCGGCTCCGTCTACGATTGTCACCCCGAAGCACGTGCCAGGCCAGGGTACATCGCCCGAGTCCACGCAGAAGTTGGCACCCCCAAGCAAGCGCGACCTTTTACAACGATTGAATGAAGAGCAGCAGCGCCTATCGCAGTTGCTAGCAGCAAAGCAGCAACGGCAGCAACAGAAGCAGCCTAGCACCCTGTTTGCAGTTCGTGGGATCGAGTTGTGTAGCATGCAATTGGTGTCACGAGTTCGGCTTTGTTTCGTGTCATGCAACATGAGGTAATGTGACGACCCAAGACACGCAAGTATTGGATCAATGTTCGTTGGATGATGCAGCAGCCAATGCCTGCAAAGAGATAGAGGCCAAGGAGCGTGCAGCTCTTGCTGCTCGAGTGTTTGATGACAAGTGCCCGGCGAGATTGGGTCCGAAGCGACTCCTGACTCAAACGGTTGAGTGGGAGCCCAGCAAGATCATCAAGAAAGAACCGGTTATCAAGCAGGAGCCTTCGCAAAAGGCACCGCAGCAGCCTCCGCCCCAGAAGCCTTTGCAAGAGCCGCCCCAGAAGCCTTTGGAAGAGCCGCCCCAGAAGCCTTTGGAAGAGCCGCCCCAGAAGCCTTTGGTAGAGCCACCGCAGAAGCCTTTGGTAGAGCCACCGCAGAAGCCTTTGGTAGAGCCACCGCAGAAGCCTTTGGAAGAGCCGCCGCAGAAGCCTTTGCAAGAGCCGCCCCAGAAGCCTTCGGTAGAGCCACCGCAGAAGCCTTTGGTAGAGCCGCCTGAGAAGCCTTTGGTAGAGCCACCGCAGAAGCCTTTGGAAGAGCCACCGCAGAAGCCTTTGGAAGAGCCACGGCAGAAGCCTTGGATGGAGCCACCGCAGAAGCCTTTGGGAGAGCCACAGCAGAAGCCTTTGGGAAAGCCACCAGCCAAGCCTTCAGTAGAGCTTCGTGTGCCGATAAAGAAAGAGCCTCTAGATCATCCAATCAAGATGGAGCCTGGTGTCAAGCGAGAGGCTGAGGCAGAAGATGCGGTTCGTTGTCCAGGGTTTGCTGCTGCAGTGGAGTCTGAAGGTGGCTCCGATGTCAAAGGAGTGGAGTCCCAAGCCCCGGATGCTGTTCAGGGCAGCGATAATGGAGGTGATCATCGTTGCACTGACGAGCGAGATGATGGAAGAGAGATGGAAAGACCTGCCCTCCTAAGCACAGCTGGTGTTGTGTCACCAGGTGACCAGAAAGCGGCAGCCAAGAAGAAGAAGGGCAAAAAAAAGGAGGCAGATGACGAGACAGCCGAGACCAGCAAAGCCAAGACACCGCCCAAGAAAGCTACAAAGGATCCAGCCGAGCCGAAGAGGCGACCAGGCCGCCCCAGAAAAAGCGAAACCGAGCCCAAAGCCAAGGCCAAAGCTGAGACCCCGAAGAAGAACACAGGCAACAAGCGCAAGACACCGGAAGTCGAGAACAGCCAAGACACGAAGTTTTACTCACCTGAGGCGAAATCCGGCAAAAAAAGCACCCAAAGCAAAAGCGAAAGCGAAAGCGAAAGCAAAGGCGGCCAGCGCGAAGACTCGTGCGGCAAAGGATCGTGCAGCAAAGGCGGCCCCTAGCCCACCCAAGCCTCATGCAGTTCGCAAGCGTGGGAAAAAGAATGAGGTTCCCCAGGATGGTGCTATGAAGAGCCGAAAGAGTTGTGCCTATCACAAAGCAAAGACACTTGCTTTGAAGCAGGGACTTTCGAAAGAGGAAGCAATCGCTCTGGCAAAGAAGGTCACTTGGTTTAGTTTAGAGAGAGAGAGAGAGAGAGAGAGAGAGAGAGAGAGAGAGAGAGAGAGAGAGAGAGAGAGAGAGTGTGAATGAGAGAGATAGGGAACATGAGTGAGAGAGATCGATCTAGGTGACCCCTACTGTTCTTCTTTTCTCCCTCTCTCTCTCTCGAGCGAGTGTGGCTGTGTGCTAGGCATGCATGATTGTGTGAGCTTCTTTATGGCTACTATCACTGCACCTTGTGTGCTTATGTGATTGCAATCCAAGGCATATGCTGAGCAGGAGTGAATCTGACTTGCACTAGTGGAAGCTGGTTGCGCTTTTGAAGATGTACCGCTGACTTATGCCATGCGGTAGATTTCCTACATTTTGGGAGTGCTGCTAGCTGGGGGTAATGCTGGCTGCCAACCCGAATGAAGGCAGAAGCCTCAGTGATCGAGCCAAAACCGTCACGACGGCTCAGTGCGATCGGTGCAAAATCTCCGTATCTCTACATGCATGGACCAATGGAGTGCTGTGCAGCGCTTGGGGCACCCTCCCAAATTAGATTAATTATCACGATCCCACTACCCTATCCTTGCCAGGTCTGTCATGGGCTGTGGTGGGCAAGCTTCCTGTGCCCTGTGGCGACAAGGACTGGCATCCTGAATCGAGAACCAGAAAACCCGTCATATAATACCAGTAGATCCCCTCCAAAGCCCATATAAACCACAAGTTAAAAACTACAATATTTTTGCTCACTATGCATTCTGGGCAGGATCTCTGGACCGTGGACTACCGGGCCATTATGTTCCTCAGCCTGAGCATTGCCCTGTCAAGGCCCATCCTACCTGTACCCCCAATAATCTCTGGGCCTCTGATTGATCGTCAGGTAGAAGTGGCTGCCGTTGCGGGGAGCTTCGCCGCGCAGGCCTGTCAGTGGGGAGTACATGTATACTTGCTACAGTCCCAGAATAAAAGATTTCTAGAGAGTCGTCTTGTCGATCTAGCACTGCCAGCATAGTATACTTTTGAAGAATTATATACTGCCCTCCGCCCTCCGAACTGCGACAGGTGATCAATGGCTGTGGCTCGCCGTGCTGAGGCGCAAGGCTCTGCCCGACCCTTTCTCATGTGCTTCAGCATTCACTCTGCAAGCCATGTGTGAGATGTGCTATGTCGGCAGTGTTGTATAGTGGCTTCAGAGTGCTGCCATGACATCAAATCCTCTACATGCATATGAACACTATGGAAGCCCTACAAAGCCCTAAAAGCCTTAAGACCCTATATAAACCCTTCTAAATCCTCGAAACCCCTAAGCCCTAAACCCTTCAACCCCTAACACCCCTAAACCCCCTAAACCCCCAATTTCGCCTGCAGCCATCCATATAACAACTGCATACCACAAGACCAAAGTCTGTTCTGGCCATGGACTGTGGCAACCTGCCAGATTCCTCTTTGCTTGTGCGGCTAATACATGTTGGAGCTCCGAAGGCTTCTTTGATGATGTTTGATCTATCCCATGTATGTTCATCAGGAATGCTATTGATAACCAGCTTAGCCATATCCACCCTACACCTATATAAGCCCCAACCTCCCTCAACTGGTACTTGCCCAGGTACTCATAGCTGTGATGCTGCTGCTACTCTGGTCGACGAACCTACCACGGGCCAAAGCCTTTGATTTTCTGGACCTGTTTTCCGGGGTGGGCAATGCCAGCAAGCTTTGGAGCCTACGCGCATACTTGAAACTATCGTTTCGGGTCTGTTCCCAAAGCTCCATACTGCAGTAGGGTTTCGGGCATATACGGTTCAGGAGTGTTCCCTACCTGCTACCCAGGAAATCCATGGGAAAGAGAGTCGCAACCATCGAGATTAGTCGGAGTGCCTCCATGGATTTTCTCTCCGATGCCGGTTTTGCGTAGCTTGGTCAAACCTTGGTAGGGATGCTCTGGCGGCTTGTAGAGTCATAGTCTGAGGCTTGTGTTATGGTGCATTACCTGCGAGAAGAAGATGGCTGTGAACCTGATGGGGCCGGTGTGTTCCTCCTGGGGTGTGCCGAATAGAGGAACAAGTATGAGATCCTTCATCAATGCGCAGGGTCAGGAAGGCTTCGCAAGTGTGTCGTCAGCCAATAAGATGATCAGCCGGACGCTAGCTACAAGTATATGTGTGTGTGTGTGCGTGTGCATCGTACTTGCATCATGGGCACAATGTGCTTGAATGCTCAACTAAGGGTCGTTCTTGCAATATTAGTGATGACGGCTATGCACACCATATGGGTATTGGAACACCCGTTCTGTTCGCTCATCCAGAAGCACCATCGCTTTGAATGGCTCTGCAATTCAGTACTTTATGCAGCTTGGTTATATCTAGCATTACCCAAAAGTATGCAAACCACTTCGACCCAACTAAGGTATACGGCCAAGCCTTCTGGCTGATGCATTGGGGTAGCTCCTCTCCAAAGCGGACGAAGATCTTTTCCAACTCACCCAATGTCAAGACCCTGGACCGTGGTGTGCTCAAGAAAAACCTCAAAAAATCAAGGAACAAAATCCGCACTACTCGATCTTTAGCTGCACACATAGTTGGGGTTTGTGAGGATGACATAGGATAACCTCTCCCCTCTCTGCCAAAGGACGGTGGAAGGACTCCGAGGGTGTCGAGAAGTTCGCCGGAACGAGCAGCCTGAAGGATACCGGGTTGCCAGGCATGCATTGTTGAGTTGCATTTTAAAATTTAACCTATCTACAACCCCATATGTCCTACAAGCCCTGAATCCCTAGCTATCCCTACAAACCCGAAAAGCCCTCTATAACTCAGTGGGCAACGCTGGGGTCCAGACTTTATGCAGTTTCGGGGTACCTTTGCGGTGGTCTGAGGGAGTCAATAGTTGTGGCTACTGGTCTATAAAATACTATACATGTACAACATGTACTATAGTACTTTGAATCAACTGCTATATACTTCTCCTATTCCTGCTGGTGTTGCCGCTACGAAGCTACTTTAACTCCTCGATAGCTCCAGCTGTTCTGCGCAAAGAGGATAGTACTGGAAGCCCGTAATACCCCAAGCCTACTAGTTCTATAGAATTCACCAGTGCCAAGCTTGGTAGGCGGTGGCTTCTGGGTCCGTGGTTTCGCCTTATAACCACACGGGTGTCTTCCCACCATTGATTGCTGTAGGACTTCGGTCGCGTCCGGGTTCAGTGGCTCCGACGATCGCCTGGTCGACCGGGGTCGTGCCGCGTTGAACGCCCTGTACTCTGTGCAGTCATTAAACTCCTTCACCGCTTCGATGTGCTTGTGTCGTTTCGACTGACTCCACCAGACTCCAGGCCAGTTCTGAAATAGTGGCGCAATCCGTTGAAACCTAGCTAGTCTTAGTCACTTAGTCCCCATATGAACCCTGCAAATCCCTATCAAGCCCATGTGCATTGTGTGCAAACCACATATTCTCATAACAGGCTTGGCTTATGGCTCTAGGCCGCACCAAAACAACTCCGTGAAATCCTCCAGGACATGCCATAACCCTGCTGATTCCGGTAGCATCGGTCATCCTGGTTAATAATGGGCTTGGGTTTGAGTTAGCCGAAACACCAGCAAGCCCATGAAACCCTACAAAGAACAAGCACCCCAAAACCTTAGTTTCTTCCACCACACGTACATAGCCCTAGATGCCCTAGATGCAGCAAGCCCCAGAAGCCCTGAGCCCTGAACTCTGATGATATATATGTATACAATATCCATATAGATCTATTTAAATATGTATATCGGCAATAGCCAGAACCCTAGCTATTTAGTATATATATATATATATATATATACACATACATTCCCTAGTTATAAACCACCCTCTCGGAATCCTTAATTTGATGAAGCCCCAGACTCCCTGATCTCCTAAGTCCCCCTAAGCCATTTGCTGAGGGTGTATCCCATGGAGTTTGTCAAGCAAATCTACGAGGCTTTCGCTACGGACCAGACGCCTGACTCCTCGGCTGCCTTGGCTCCTCTACGCAACAAGAACACTGCCAATCCCGACTTACCGGATGTGGAATTGTTCAAAGCCCTACCAATGAAGGATTTATGGGAAGATGCACAGCTGCCGTCAGTGTACTTCTACTTGAGACGAAACAAGTACCTCGTGATACCTCCTTCTTGGGAAGATACAATCGAGTGCTTTGATACAGAACTGGATGCCAAGGTGTCTTGGGCTATTATTCCATAATCTTACAATTGTCTCGTATGGTGCCGGGTTCTTATCACAACTAGACTGGAAGCACAAAGGTGAACTGCTACCGGGACCTGAGGGAGGAGTACAATTCTCTACTGGGCTGACAAGCAGTTGTGCAACAGGGCTCCAGCCACTGGTCTGTGTTCGTAGATGCAGACTGAGCTCGGCAGCCTGCAGGAAAGAGGGAAGCCGGGCATTCTTTTCAGTTGTTCCATGAGCAGGGAAAGCTTCACGCACGCTTTTTGTTTGCACGCGCGCTTTTTGTTTGGGGCAGGTGCCGGTCCGGAAAGTTAGGGCGCAACTCTCGCGCAATTTCCCGCAACTCGCGCGCAATTCCCCGCAACTCTCGCGCAATCTCAATTTCCGTGTGTGGGCCGTTTTGGCACGCGCGCTTTTAGGGTTCCACGCGCGCTTTTTACTTTCGTGTGCTCTTGTCTGAGGTGCTAGCTGGACCCATGCAATCCATACTTAACAGCCTGGGGGTAAAGGGAGGTTTGTGGGGAAATGACAGCACGATCGCCTTGGGCCGGGGAGGGCAAGCATCGAGCATCAGCAGGGTCGGGGTGGGCTCCGGAGTTATGGTGCGAGCTGTTCTGTGCATGTGCTGTGCATGTCTAGACATGAGCCTCTGTGTGTGCCTGCGTGATCTCGATTCTGTGAATCAATCCATGCTCTCATCGCATGCTATTTACAGTGCGATTTTGTAGCATGGCCTCCTCGGCCTCTTTGGGCACCCTGACTGACGGGGTACTGATGGTAGCCCGGTCGTGGACCAATATGTCGGAGATCCCCGAACACGAGCTTGATGAGCAGATCAGAGTTCTTTAGTTGAATTTAGTCGTTTGCTGATATTGATGCATGTCTCCACTTCCATCTGACTTGCTTTCCTTCGACCTCAGAATGCAACCGCAAACCTGGCTGCTCTTCAGAAGCAGCTGATTGACGAGCCCGGGCCGATCCCGGATCTTCAGCCAGGTGTGTAGTTTTTATAAATGTTTGCATAGCATATATAGGGCCTCTAGGGTTCTGTATATGGTGTGTATTTAGATACTGCATATGTTTCTTGGTGGCAGGCGCCCCTTCCGTTGCTACTTCTTCCGGTCAGTTTGCCCCGGGGAATGCCACGACCGCTTTGCCGAGATCTCATACTACACGTATGCTGCAGCAATCCTCGAAATACGATCAGCCGGATGGATGTGAGTCCACGCAGCTTTCCCCGACCGCTCGCAAGCCCGGATGTGAGGCCACACAGGTTTCCTCGACCCCTCGCAAGCCCCTCAACTCCAAGGAGATGACTGGTTCTATCGATATTGAGGACAGCCCGGTCATGCCAAACTCCGAGCCGAAGCGCACACCCCCAAGCACCGGCCCATCTTCCCGCCCTGACGTTCGGAAGCAGCTGTTTGGTTCCAGTCGACGACCAACCCCACAGAAGAAGCTAGCTGCACCCAAGCCCGAAGGCTACTGGAAGCTACTTGTCAAAAATCGTAGCAGCATATAGTATGCATGATTGTAGTTTCTATGCAGAAGCCATCGATAGAGCCGACGGAACTGAGGGTTCGTCGGCATTTCATGCCCAATGCGAAGGGCGAGGTCAAGTGCACACCGAACGTGCTAGAGCTCGGAAAGACCTCTGACGGACGAGCCATTGCTTAAAGTGTGCACTAGCTACTTCCTATGTCACCCACATGAGTCTACTTGGACCTAGAGCGTGACACATCGCAAGGTGAGCAGCTTCGTAAGCTCCTGCTGGACCACGGTACTTTCGACAAGATCGAGGGAGTGCTGGAGAAGTGGCACGTGCAGAAAAAGAAGTCGGCAGAGACAGGTGGGACAGTGACGAAGCACTGGCTCATGGAAGTGAGGAAGTACACCCAGCTCCCCTCCTGCACTAGAGTATTACGTGTATACAATGTACAACGGTTCTAGCAAGCACCCCGGCACGCTGCCTTCGATGTCGTTCATGTGCACCAGGACAATGGCCGACAATTCCTTCGAATGGGCCAGGCGGAATGGGCGCTGCTTCAAGTCCGAGATCCATGGTGAAGAGGAAGCGGACATTCCGCTTGACTGGACATGGACGAACTCGACAGAGTCAGGACAAAGGACTGCATGGCTTCTCCAGCAACTTCAGCATGGACGTGCCTAGCCATGCAAGTCAAAGACGTTCCCAATTCCACCACGACTATCTCTTTGCCCCTCACTTCCTCTCTGTCTCTCTCCCTCTCTCTCTCCCTCTCTCTCTCTCTCTCTCTCTCTCTCTCGAAAGGGGAAGGAGCGTATTCAAACAGCACCCTTCTCTCTCTCTCTCTCTCTCTCTCTCTCTCTCTCTCGCTCTCTCTCTCTCTCTCTGGCTCTGTCTCTCTGTCTCTCTCTCTCTCTCTCTGGCTCTGTCTCTCTCTGTCTCTCTTCCCTTCTTCAGTGTGGATATGATCTGCCCAGGACCCGGACTGCGCACTGCTCGACGCGAAGAACGAAGACCTGGGCAAGCCGACGGCAGGACGCAGTGCAGAGCCGGCTAGTGACGCCGTGGTCACTGCTCAAGCTGGGGCTTCGTTTAAGACTCTCGACAGCCAGAGCTCTCAATGATTTGTGACTACTCAAAACAACCTAGCCGAGGATGTGCTTCCCCAGCCTGCAGCAGAACGCCTCCCCGCTTGGGCTTCTCTCCTCCTACATCTGTGTGCTGGGCAAGAAGATTGACTTGGCCGAGTCGGTGAAGGAGCTTGCTCATGTCTAGATTCTAGATGATACGGGCTTGTGCATGGGTTAATCAAACTTTGGGTTTGTATGCCGATCCCCTGTAAACCCTATATACCCTAACCTATATGTTATATAAGCCTAACCTATATAAACCCGGTCGTTAGAGGGGTCGACCGCTGCATCACCCAAGTGGGGCAAGGCTTTTGCATGGGTCTGAGACATCCCTGGCTTTTTGAGAATCTGAAAGGTATGGGGCCGGGGATATGGGGCCCGATGAGTCTTTGGCTTCGGGGCTTGCAAGTGGCTCGTGTCTGTCATGATATGATTGTGTGTGGGTTTGGAAAGTTTTGGGGGTTGTGGGAAACCACCACAAACCTATCAAGTCCCATGCAGTACCTGCACCATAACAAAACCGAACTTCAAACCCTCTACGACCCTCTAGGACCCTGTAGCTTACACGAATCCAGAAACCCAAACAGCTTCACTCCTAATATATAGCCCGGAACTTCCGTCCCCACAAAGCCTCGAAAAACCCTTGAATGACATAGAATAATAGAGCATAGACATTTCCTGATCCACTCGAATCCCTTCCGAACGTATATATATATATATATATATATTGTATTAATATATTATATACGTTCGGAAGGGATTCGAGTGGATCAGGAAATGTCTATGCACAGATAGGCCACCATATATGCGCAGGGTACCTAGCTATAGATAGCTAACCTTTAACCACCCCAAACTTCCCTTAACCATATAACCCTGTATAGCTTAAGTAGGGCTGCAAGTATATTCTGATAGCTTATCTATCAACCGTGATGAGTACACAGTCTAGCCAGGAGAAGATGTCGGGCAAGGGAGTGGCGAAAGCAACTGAGCAGCTTCTCAAAAACTACACGGCTGGTGTGCTTCTCTAGATGCATAATGTGACCTCGGGTGATGCCCCTCCTAGCCTAGGCTGAGCAAGAATTTGACCTCCTGCTTGGTGGAGATGAACGAGTGCTACAAGAAGTTGACCGAGGTGCAGGCCGATGCTGCAACCACCGACAATGAGGCCAATATTGCCAGGCAAGGCAGTTAGTGCTTGAGTTTGCGAAGGTTTAGTTCATATGTGCATGATGTTTGGAAACCTGAGAGTCCTAGGCTGAAGAAGGAATCCCTGGGAATTTACATCCGGTGCACCAAAGCCGACCTTGCTCTCAACAATTATGTTGTGCGATCGAGGAACTTTTGCTGCAATCTATATATACTCCACCTAGAGAAGTTTGTGCTGCCGCCAGGCTTGCTCTGCCCTAGACGAATTCATGTAGCTTTGTATACAAGCCACAATTTGCCAGCCCTCCTTAATATTATAACCCCGTAGATTTTTTTGACGTCGCAATAACCCATGCAAAACCAAACTTTGCAAGTGCCTAACCTAGACATAATCCCCGCAACCCCTTGCTATCTCAGGAGTGTGGGGGGCAAGTCTGGTGCTGGCAGCACCCCTGCAAAGCCGAAGTCCAAAGCCCGGCCGAAGAGTGGGGCTAAGGCCAAAGCGGGCCCGAAAGCTGCAGCAGCAAAGGCTCCTGCGCAGAAGCGCCGGAGGACTAGTTGAGTGGCACGACCATCCAGAACTGGAATGATCGAGCAATGACGGTGTATCTGATTTGCATTGGAGATCATGATCAAATTTGTCAGTTGCACGTGCAGCACATGCAGTTTTTACCGCATGGGCCAATCCTGTGAAAGGAGTGTGAGCTGCAGTCTGAAAACGTTCAACATGTAGTCGCTCCAATCTGTGTGCTGTTGGCTGTGTTGCATTTCATGACAAGACTTCGTGGCTTCGACAAACGTACGACTCATTGCAGATGCTCGGCCTACCCTTTCGCAGGTCTTGATGTGGAGTGCTTTGACATAAGTGGGGCCCTCAATTAAGCCGAATATGGTACTCCCTAAAGAAACCCCCACTGTCCAGGTCCTGATGACCCGGATGACAACCAGGACGACGGTTTCCTCGATGAGCTCCTGATGGGGCTATCTTCCGGGGTCACGCGCCATACTTCTGTACCCTAACCCAGGAGTGTTGTGACGTGGGCTATAGAATCGTTGGGGATTTAATTAAGTAACTAACATTGATCAATAGGCCTATACGTGCTCTATAGCGATGGTTTCATTCATGTTCCTATACAGCTTAGAAAGAGCTAGAACCCGATCATCCCATAACCTATAATCCGCGAGGCTCTTGGCTGCTTAGATGGACATCCGTATTGAAAGAACCTCCGAGATTCCCGGGCCCCTCTAGCCAGGTTTAGGGTTTAGGGTTTATAGGGTTTAGGGTTTAGGGTTTATAAATAGGGTTTAGGGCTTATAGGGTTTAGGGGGATCTTGAAAGCCTCAACCGGTACGATGGAGTTTGCCAAAAGTATATGGCTTAGTAAGTCTGTTGCAGATGCTCCCCAATCCATGCGAGTGAGGCTGACTCCGCGGCCCGCACGTGTCGTTTAGCCAAGAAAGCCCATGGGAAGTTGGAACGACGAGGCTTGCTCATGTTGTTGTTACTTTCAGTAAATTCATATACATTTCCTAGTTTCCTTCCAACTCCCTCGCATTGCAGGGCTACGCGATCCGACTTTGCAAAGGTTGGGCAAATGTGCAAGTGCTGATGATAGCAACACCTGCCGAAACCTCCACCGCCTGCTCTCCAAGCCCAACTTCACACTTCCCATTCAGATCTCAAATGCAATGATCAAGATCCGTCATACCCGAACACGGAAGCTGAAGAACATACAATGGCCCACCCTGAAACTTTCAAGTTGGGCACGCTTCGCTTTGGAACAAGGCGGACAAATGCTGCTCGGCTGTCTTTGCACGCTTTGACGATTTTGCATCCTGCCGAATCCTAATCATGCAAGCTTGCAAGGCCCAGTGCTGCCCGAGAGACCCCAATCACCCTAGTCTTAAAACATCATCCGATGACTTCTAAATGGTCTCACAAGCATATTAGCTAAGTATATAATTATATAAATTATTTTGGAATTGGGTGCTCATATAAGAGAAAACAACCCAGGCTATTGCAGGGACATCATATATCCCAAGTTCATTCGTGGCAGCGGGACCTTCAAGAGTTTTGGGACTTGTACGAGTGTGTAGACCCCTCGCATCCCATATTTACAGAAAGCCTGGACCGCAAGTGCACACTGCCGTACTTCCTTCACGGCGATGAAGGACGTGGTCGGACGAAGATGCCTGTCATGGTTTTGAGCTTTCAGGGCTTGTTCTCGCATTTCGGCAAGCATAAGTTGAATGAAAGTGGGTCACTTGTCCACAATGGTAGCAAACTGTTTTTTGTGGTTTGTATAGAATACTAACCTATATGGGGTAGTGTAGATCAGATTAGTACCTATATATACTTGTTGAAAGGCACAGCTTTTGTTCGCGCCTACTGTACACGGCGATACCTGCTCGTTGCTACCATGGTGACAAAACAATCTACAACTTGCTGCAGCACCTGGCAGATGATTGTAGTTCTCTCTTCTGGAATGGTTTGGATGTGCCTTTTATGTCAAGTGATTAATTTCTCAAATGAGCTAGTGGTTTTGCGGATAGATATGGCTCGAAACCGTAATTATAAACTTAGCCTTCTGTTGAGGTTGAACATGACGGGCAGAAATACCACTTCCGCATGGCATGGCTCGGGTGCAAGGGAGACTGGGTGTGGCTTCGAAAGGCTTTCAATCTGCTTACCGGATTTTCCTCTACCAGGATTTGCCACATGTGTGAGCAGGAGGTCGGGCGCCAAACAACATGTTACGTACTGGTTAGGTAGGGTTATATAATTAGAGAATTGGTTGGGTATGGCAGGATTGGTACAATTGTACAGCTGCATCTGATATTCGTTCTTGGACAAGGGATGACCCAGCTGATGAGCCCTGGAAAGATGACTTCGTCAGCCCGTTACGATCAATACCTGGAGCAGACAATCCGTGGCGACTCCGCACGGACCCGGCTCACACATTCGCTATCCAGGGACTGGGTTCCGGAATGGCTTCGTCTGCTATCGTGTTGTTGTCGCAACTCAAGATTTGTCCAGGGCGGTCCACACAGGACAGACTGAATTGGCTATACGACTCCTTTATTGCATGGTGTAGAAGAAGCCACAAATCTACGAGCCTCGACCAGTTCACGTTGCTGAAATTCAAGATGAAGACGTCCTCCGCCTGAGTTGGATAGGAATTGGGGGCTCTCATATCATTCAACGGGTTTAGGGGTTTGGTTGCCAGAGCTTGCAAGGCTAGGATGGACTATTAACTCATCGATCCGATCAATCTATGTAAGTTCTGTTAGTAGATATACACGGTTATGTCATCCGGTATATGGGAGCTCAGGCTGCAGAACTACCCCAAAGGTGCTGGGAAAGGCTCAGACACGATATTGCTTTGTGAATGGTTGGAGGACCTGCTATGTGAAACAGGAGGATCCATGAGGGTTGATTCTCGATCGATGCATTAAAATATTTGGTAAGTTTTATATAGTTAGCAATCCTTTGAAACCGCCTAGATCGAGAACCGACTCTCAAAAAGCCTACAGCTTAGTACGCCAGTACAGCTCCAGCTTTATTTAGTGTCGACTTGTACAGCATATATACTTAATTTATGTCATAGTGGATCGGCTAAAGGCTGCGCGAGACAGAGAGCTTTACAACCTCCTCCAGTGGACCTTCGTGCATACAAATGCCTACTTCAAAGGGTTATATGACCATGCTATGTGGATCCCTGCTTCAGCCGCTGCAAAGATTGCCGAGCACGGATGGTGCATGTGTGCACTTCCGCCTTATGCAGTATAATCTTCTAGATTCATGTACAACACCAATCCTGTAGCCGAACTGAGTCATTGAAACTTCTTGAACTTAGGAAGGAGCCGGTGCTCTGGCATTCCACACATCCCAACGAAAGTGGGCTTTGTTCAAGGTACGACCTAAAGTCCACATGATGCTGCACATAGTGCTCCTGCCTCGTTTTCCATTGTTTTCTACAGGTCCTCTAATGGTCACAGGTGTTATGAAGAAGTCAAGTGCATACATAACAGGCGTGATCTGGATCTGCAAGTGCAGAGTGGCAATGAGCTGGTGTGGAATACGCGCTGAAGCTTCTGCTGTATTTACTTTACACCCATAAGGATGCTTGTGTTGCTTTGTTTAAGTATGGCCCCTGTAGCAAGTCTGACACACACTACATCGAGAAGCCCGAAGAACATAGAAGGTATGAACTGCTGGCAAGACGAGGACTTCATCGGCAAAGTGTCGCGCATATCTCGTCGCTGCTCAAATGCTACATGCGCAATCCGCACCATTAGGCTATCGCTATTGCTGTATCAACGGCAATGGACCCGGGAGTTCGGCTGATGCTAAGTGCCCGGCATAAAAAATCGTCGGGAGCTTGTGCGGGTGCACGATCGGCAGCAGGTAGAGCTTCGAATAGCTAGCAATAGTATGATCAAGTCATTCCAGAAGGTTATTATAATGTTCGTTGATGATCCCTTAGTTTTCGCACGACGATCAGCAGCATGATCCCAGATCTATACTTATCGAAGCCCCCAAAGCATCACGAACGAAAAAAAACATCCCGCATCTTTTCTCCTATCTTGTGGGGTCACGCACGAAAATCCAAGCACGCAGAAATAAACGTATGACCGGGTGGTATAGGCGATCTCCGCTGCCAGATGCCGGCTCGCTGCCGGCTTCAGATTCAACAGTTCTCTGCCTCTTGAGGATAGGGTGCAGAACACGATCTCCGCTGGCAGATGCTGGCTGAGTGCTGGGTCCTGTTCGCTGCCTCTTCGGGACAGGCGGCCGAATCTCATCCTCAGACTCGCTGAGTGTATCCAGACATGCCACACGTGGCATGGTTCAAAGGTGACCCGCCGCAATGTCGGCATGGTTCAAAGGTGACCCGCCGAACAAACAACATTGCACAAAAACTTCATGTCAAACTACTAAGCTGATGAGGATGAGGGCGCTGGTGCTGATTTATTTGATAACTATTCAGCAGTCAGTCTGACGACTAGAGGACCTGTTCTCAAGCCGCATGCCTCAAAGCTTGTACTGCGTGTCAGAGCATCCAGACAGACCTGTTCTCAAGCCGCATGCCTCAAAGCTTGTACTGCATGTCAGAGCATCCAGACAGACCTGTTCTCAAGCCACATGCCTCAAAGCCTGTACTGCATGTCAGAGCATCCAGACAGTTACTCCAGGACACGCGCAGGGGCGCGTTCAAGGCGCGCGCAGGGGCGCGCGCAGGGGCACGTGCAGGGCGCGCGCAGGGGCGTGCGTACGAGTGTGTGCCGCTGTGACGAGGCATGAAAACCAGTGCGCGCAGGGGCGCGCACAGGGCGCGCGCAGGGCGCGCGCAGGGGCGCGCGCAGGGGCGCGCGCCAGGGCGCGTGCGCGCAGGGGCGCGCGCAGGTGCGCGCATGGGCGCGCGCAGGGCGCGCGCAGGGGCGCGCGCAGGGATGCGCAGTGCATACACAGTGGCCCTAAACACAAGTGCTGCAAAACCAGCATCAAATGCTCACACTGCCTTTAGCCACCTGCCAAACATTACGCGAGAAAACGTCCTGGTTCAGTCCAGTGCGGGCCCGATTCTTGAGAGTATCTTCTCGGCACGTGCAATGCAGGCTGATAGGGCGGACTCGTAGATCTCCTGATGCGACGCTTCGGTGTACTCGGTGTTGGATGAACAAGACGCCCAGGCGGCCCACGAGGAGGAGCTGTTTTTATTGCGGGTGCACTTGTTGCTGGGCCTGGCTCTCGGTTTTCATCAGTTGCAGCTCTGCCTTGTCGACGCTCTCCGGTTTCAGCAACTGCTAGGTGGGATTCATCAGTTTGACAAGCAACTTCACGAAACATAGGCCGTTGACTTTGAGCCGACGTCTCAACCGCCTCCTGCTTCTTCTTGTTCTGGTTCGTCTCCTCAGTATCCCGCTTCTTCTTCTGGCTCCACGTGTGCCAATTGGACTTTCCAGATCTACTTTTCTTCTTGGGGGCAGCCTTTGAACGGGGATTGCCTTTCCCATTCTCGGCCGCTGCGGGCCTTTTCATCGGATCAGCACAGGGCCATCACGGACACTATGTTGACGACCTCTTCGCATTAACCGTGAAACTCTTGAAGCCAGGTTTCAGGGTTAAGGTTCAGTAGACAGAGAAGCTTGCTCAATTTAAAGCTTAAGGTTAGCTAAATGATTCAATGAATGAGTCAATGACCGATACCATGAAACTCTTGAACCTGACACCTCTTCAACCCACGCATGTTTAGTAGGGTTAAGGGTCAAGGGATGTTAAGGGTTAGGGCTCGACCGTTGACAGTCATCTCACGCTGGGGGCTAAAGCCAGTCTGTCAAGTTTTAGAAAAGCTTGCTTTGGATGCAACATGCAGCACGTCGTGTGTGTCTGTCGCATGCCGTCTCGGTAGTTACTACATAATCATTCGCGACTGACAGACAGCAACAGCAACAACCACTGCCAAAACAGACGACGAGCGGTTTCTTGCACTCCTCATGCGACCAGCTGAAGCTGCACGGGTCCCGCGTGACAAAGGAAGTTCCGGGGCAGCAGGCCAACGGCAAGGCAAAAACACTCTGTGCTGAAAGACAACTTTACGAACTTTATATCACGAGGAGACCATCATCATCATCATGAACGCTCGAAGGCCTGTGCATGCCAACAATTTCAAACTGAACTTGACATGGCTTCCTACCGCTACCACACATTCATTTGTCCTCCAACTTCAAGTCTGAGTGCGACATGCGGTGCAAAAGCTCCCCACCCTGAGTCTTTCTGCCTGGTGTTCCTCCAAGCCCTCAGACAGCCAGTCGCAGAGCGGGACCTGATTGAGCTCATTGAAGACCGTCTTCAAGAAGCTTCCCAAAGGTCGCAGCTCCAAGGCCTGGTTTCAGGGAGTTGTGGGAGACCGACGAAACCACGTGCTTCGGATGTGGACTGCACGCTTAACATAACAACAACTAACAGTAACAATTACGCAGGGAGAAGAAATCATCACGGAAATCAAAGCCTCAACTTGACTGAGTGACGTCATGTCATGTTCACAGAACATCCGCCATGTCCAACGGAAGACCCTATTTCACATGGCAATGGTTGTGTCTGTATGCCCGTCTGTCTGTCTGGCCCATTCGGAAGTGGCAACCGATGATAACGACGAGCCAAATTCAATGTGAATTGCAGAGTACCTTGCAAGCTCTGGACTCCACGCAGGAAACGTGACTAGAACGTTTCGTTCATGGTGCACGGCGGGTGCTGTTACTACGCACATTGCAGAATCGAGCACAAAGGCCATCAAATGCAATAACTGTTAAATAAAAAAGGAGAAACGGACTGGTAAAGTCCTTTGTACGAACTAGTTGATGACCATGCAAGCCAAGCAAGGACGTGTCATTGACTTTGCGCTTTTTTTATCCCAGTCGGAACCTAATCAATCCCCAACCTGAAAGCCAGTCATGTTGCAATGAATAATCTGTTTTTAAATGAAAACTGTAAGTGCAACTTCTCATGTTCATAACGCGTAACATTAGAAGCGAGCAAATTGTCATCTCAATGCTTTGGTGCAGATCGCAACAAGCCATGCATGACGTGTGGATTGGCCGCTGGATATTATGGCCTGCTGCTCTTGTAGTTGAATCAGACTCCAGCAATTTCAATCAGCACTCCGTCGTCCTTAAACTCATTATTCAGACTGCGGCAAGCCAAACAACACCACTGCCATCGGACATGAAGAGCAGTACGGGCCTTCATTTGCTGTTGTCGTCATTCGTCGTTCTCTCATTGAATGACGTCACCTGGGAACCTCAGGCCTCGAACATTTAGTAGTCGTACTTTAAATGAGGACCCCGTCCGCCGCATCCCTCGGCTAGGAACCTAGACAAATTTATTATAACATCATAAGACTGATTCCTGCACGAATTGCGTCTCCGAATCCGACCCTGGTTTGAATGAGCAGAGTTAAATCCAGTGTATCATGATCTTTCACCAAGTTCCAGACTCTGACATTGCAACACGAGTTTGAATATTCCATAGAATAAGTCAGATTCGTGTTATTGCTACCATTCTCAGACTCTGACATTTGCAACTTCAAGGAATATTCCTGACAATAGTCTTAAATGATTATTTGTTACTACTATTATTATTATTATATGGCTGACTTCTGAAAATTGAATGATGACCACGAGCCTCCTGACCTGTATCGCGCACACGCAAAGCAATGGAATAACGAGCTGACACGTCAACGATGACCGCCTGGATCAGACTGCAATCAATCCCAGAGTAGCATGCTTCCCAGGAAAGGCTGGCAAACACTGATGCTATCATTTTCTGAGACTGACTGACAGATTTTTCACTCTCAGACTTAGTCTTGACTTGTTCATGGTGATAAGAAAACACCATCGAATCATGAAATAAATTGAACAAAACAAACATGTATGCAGCTAAAAGAATATCACGGTTCAAAGTTTCACTGCCAAAACCTGCCGTCCTAGACTGTGACATGCTTCATAACTAGCATGATTGAACCACCTTGCGAGAAACTAAACTTAAGCCCCAATTTATGCCCGCTGTAAACCCCAAACTCTTCAGCCTAAACCCCGAACCCAGCGTAACCCGACTGCCTCGAAGGGCTTCCAGTCGGATTTGCATGCCCAGAAAAAAACACGTCCACGTTTGGCCTCGAACAGGCGAGCACAGCAAGCAGGAGAACAGCCTCGCAGTGGACAGCTACTCGGAATCTGAGACTCCAGCTGGCAGGCCCAGATTATGCATGTGCACAGTGGCCCAATGCAAGACCATCCCGCGCGCAAGACACTCCTGAAGGAAGTTGAATGTGACAGTAGCCACAAAACGATTGCAGGAGCGGAGCCTGGACCATGAAGTGCATGAGCTTCTGGAGGTCTTCGTGCTCGCTGAGGATGGCCATCACATTCTCGAGGAATATAAAACACCTTCCGGAGAAAACAGAATTTCAACTTCAAAACAAAACGTGCAGCATCCGCGGCCTCTCCGGGAGAGAGTCAAAGACGCGGAACACTTCGCGTATCAAAGATGTACGATCATCTTGTAATCCGCGCTGATGGCCGGCTTTACTGACACCCTGGGCCTGCATGCTTTCACGCAGCTCGTGAGACCAACGACTTCGAAGCAGAGGGCAACATGACATAATGTGCAACATTAAAGGCTTAAGGCTTAAGGGTGTCCTGGCATGGGAAGCCACCACCACATCCAACCGCAGAGATGTAGGGTGGACTGGAACCGGTGCGGTAGGCCAGGATGTTCGGGAAAATGCAGCCTTTGTGCAAAAGGCCGTCAGCCATGCGCGCTTCGAGAACGCCTCGGCAATAGGCGTCCTTTTCCACCTTAGAGCCGCTGGGTATAGTGGCTTTTGGTTCAGATTCCAGGAGACTGTCGCAGTGTCACTGAGTACACGACATATTCCACAGCATAGACATACCTCATCAACGGCAGCCGCCACGTGGATTCACAATGAGACTGCAAACCCGACCCGTGCAATGTGCATCGCTCGGCATTTTGAAGCCCGACTTGGGCTAGCTAGTCAGTCGGAAGCCACCATCAACTTTCTGCTTTTGCCACCTGATGCCTGGACAGACTGTCAAGTCTGAACAGCGCAAGTGAAGTTTCCAAAAGTCTGACACTGAGTCTGCGGCTGTGCTGTGGCAATCTCCATCCGTCAGCCTGAAAGTCGGGTATGCGGGAACCCGGTTTATCGTTCAATGGAGTAAGACCGACTAATTATATACTAGGCCGGCTCCCGTCCGATTTTTTCTGCATGCCACCGGTCGGACGTTCATGGAGACCCGGCTGCACTTGGCATTGCTGGTGCGAGGCTTGAAAGCTACTGACTCTACATGACTCTAGAGTATAACCGATTTCCCTCCACCTGCACATGCGAGGAGCCAGCAGCCACAGTGCTGGAACAGAAGGTGCAACGCGGCGAACAGAGATCGATCCGTGTGTTTCATGTACCAGTCCAGTGCCTTATGACTGTCCCAGATCCGCCTGCTGCAGCATCAAGCTTGTTTAGCTACCCATCCGATTCACTGCAGTCTGCGGTGAGCTCATTGTATCTTGAAAGGATCTCCTCTTTTGTCGGCTCCTCTTTTGTCGGGGACGGTGTCTCTTCAGAGTCCGAAGAAGTCACATAGCAGCTCACCTTGATTGCTGGACTGGATAGAAAGCCCTGTAGAACCATTAAACCCAAGTATAATTCCATAATTAAGTTTAATTATTATACGTTAAAACCAAACTCATCCGGGGCACAATCTTCGGCTTCGCTTTTGGAAGCCCGCTGATCAGATGCATCTGTCGTTTCAGGTGCCCAGGCAGCTGCGGTGCCGTCGAGACTGCATGTCCACCCGCCGGCGCCGTTGAGACTGCATCTGCAGCCGAACCCGCCGGCGCCTTCGAGACTGCCTGTCCACCCGCCGGCTTGGTCGAGACTGCATCTGCAGCCGAACCCGCCAACGCCTTCGAGACTGCATGTCCACCCGCCGGCTTGGTCGAGACTGCATGTGCAGCCGAACCCGCCGGCGCCGTCGAGACTGCATGTGCAGCCGAAGGTGGCCATGTGGGGCGGCGCATGGGCGCGGCAGCTTCCGATTCATGCCCCCTATGAGCCATGGATGGCCCTCTAAGCGACAAGTGGGGCTGGCGACCAAAGTGCTGAGCCACACGGCATTGGGGAGCTCGAGTGTGGGAGCCGCTCGACATTAGATTAAAGATTAGTTGGGTTAGTGCATATATATATTGTACTACTACTACTGCTGCTAGTACTACACTACTGGTACTACTACTACTACTACTACTACTACTACTACTACTACTACTACTACTACTACTACTACTACTACTACTACTGCGTGGGGGATTGATCTCGACTTGGTTGCTGCTCTCCCCACCAGAGCTGTAATGAATGTAGGTGTGGCTGGCTAGCACTCTCCACAGACTGGACCCTGTCTCTCCCTCTACTTCCACACGTGCGATCCTATGCAGGCAGAACCGGCGGCCGTTCCTTTTGCACTCACTGCCGGCGGCGGTTCGTCTGTGCAACGGGATAGCTCTGATTGCTCAGGATAGAAGACACATATAGCACTTAGCTATGGGCATTGACTTGAGCCAAACGTTGCGTTGGCGGTCACATAGAAAGGTAAAGATGAGGGATGCGTAGCATGCCCCCTAGAGTCGAGGGACGCGTAGCGTGCCCCCTTCTCTTGCACTTTACACGGTCTTGCTCACAGCTCTTATAGTGACACCTTAGAACTTGACAAGGCATCGCAGTCCGTTCGCACCCCCCATGAGTTGCGTCTCCGACGCTGCTCACCCGGAAGATGGCACGATAGGACAACAGAAAATGTTCCGCCGCAACGTTGACATTGAAAATCAGAGCTTTGCATCCCAATTAGAAACGTTGTGACACTCATCTACGTCAGTAACGATCCCCTGAAATGGCAAACGAATCAGGCGTCACCGAAGAAAGAAGCATTCGCGATGGCATTCCATGGGCGAAGCTCAGAGGTCACGAACTGATAGGCGAGGAAGACCAAGCGTTGATTCACCGCCATCTTCGCGTGGTCGCAGGATCGCGGTCCCAGGGCCGGAGGTTTTCCTCTGGATACTGTTCCCGATGCTTTCCCTTGTCCTTGCCTTTGTTTCGGCCTTTGCCGGCGGTGTAGTCGTAGTAGGAGTTGGAGTTCCAACCTCCATGTTGCTCACCTCCGGTTCTCCCACGCCCTTTTGAAGGTCCCTTGGACGAAGAAGCGCTTTCACGTTCCTCCGTAGTGACAGGCGTGTCCAGGATGGATGTACCACCTGGAGGAAGATAGTCAGCGGCCGAAATGTGGTGTAGGGCTTCAGTACGCTTGGTCGTCGGGTTTTGCTGTCTCTCAGCCTTGGATCTGTTCAATCTGTCCATGAAATGCGCAGGCATTTGCACACTGTGGTCCACCAGCAAGCCGATGGTCTGGACTGACTGATCAGAATGAGTCAGCAGAATACCGACGGGGTCGATGTACAAGAAGTCCACTGGTCCAGTTGGCGTTGGTCGTAGCACTGAGAATTGTTGGTGTCCCGTCACCATTGGAATCACCTCGCACAGGACGTTCAGGCAACAAAAGTGCATAGCCTTCACATCTTCATCCCTTTCGCTCTTCAAGTAAGTAGTAGGGTTGAAGTTGTCCCTGCCAATTCCCATCATGTTGGCTCCCCGTGTAAGTAAAGAAAGCATCTGGTTCGTCCGGAAGCGCTTCAAGGTGTAAGTCCCGTTGGGATCATACTGTTTGAGGTTCTCAGGTTCCTTGGCAAAGCGAATGATCTCCTCATCAGTCACATCCTTGCTCACACCCGTTTCCCTATCCACTGCCGCCAAAGATCCCCACTTTCCAAGCACATCATAGCGTTGGCCAAGTGCGAAACTTTCCCTCATCTGAAACAACGGCATAGTCGCCCACTTTGCGAATCCTGACCAAGCCTTGTAGATGGATCTGCATACCACGTATGCCATGTACGAAAGAGCGGTCATGTTCGCGTCAATGCAATGGGCATTTCGCTTTCCAGAATAGTAGGATGGCTGCATGGCGGTACGTGCAAGTTGTAGCTCAGGATCGATGTTCAAAGACTGGCCGGTAACGAAGACGGGACGACGTTCCTGTGCAATTGCTTCTGGTACTGCGTCATCAAAGTCCTCTCCAGGCTCTATGTCCATTTCTTCATCAGGTTCCTGTTCTGGATCGTCCTCCGCGATGACAGATGGTTCTGGGATTTCTTCAGGTTCCGCAACGGTCTCTACCTCCATGGCTTCCTGCTCCTCTTCGGGCGCCTCAGGCACTGCGGCTGCTGCGGCTTCCATTGTCTGAGCAATGAAGTCACTGGGGATCTCCGTAGGAGTCTCCCGTTGTGGAGAACCTTGGTAATATCCGCTCGAAATGAACTGTGACCAGCAAGACGTGCATCGGGAGAAACATGCTGGAACGATGTTGTAGCATGCCGGGCATACCCTCATTCTCCGTCCATCCTCGTCTCTGCGTAGGTCTTCGGGTCGCCAATTCTTGATGACAAACTTGATTCCTTTGTCCATGTAGTGATGCCGAACCGTGTTCTCCCTGTGGGACTCCAGGACAGTCGTGAGATCTCGAATGATCTGCTCCTTGCTTGTGTCGTGGGGTCCAGGAGGCATCTCGCAAAGCAATTCCATGATCTTGCTTGGCGTTCGGTATCTCTCGAACTCAGGAAGCAACGGTGATGCATTGTAGTCCAACACCAGCTCTTTCTCCAACCGTTCATCGTAGATCTTTTCCACCAGAGCGAAAGAGTGTGTATCTCGAGGATCAGGGACGCAAAACCATACCTCCTTGACGAAATGGAAAGGTATCGTTCGGCCAACGATCATGATGCCGCTGTCCGTGATACGTCCATCCTCTCGTGCAAGGTCCTGCGATGGGACATGAAGGACCGCCAATGGCATGTGCTTGGCGTCTCGTCCATGTACTCGCATCTTGGTCGTTGCGTTCCGGTGATCGAACGGCGCAAACACCCCCCAATAGCTGTGGAGTCTGCCACCTTGGTTGCCTCGGAATTGGCGCCTATGGTCGAAGTCCCCGTCGGGGTCCTCCGAACCAGGCATGATGCCTTGCGTGACAATGGAATCCAAGTTGCGGCATGCCGTAGCGTGGAACGCACCTCCAAGACGTTGCAAGAGGGTCATAGATGGAGATATTGCGAACCTGTTCTTGTCCAACTGAAGCAAGTTGTTCTGGGGAACTGAGTGCGCAGAGTGACCACTCGTAGCCCGAACTGCCCATGGCTTCACCCAGCCGTTGCATATGTTCAGGTACCTCTGGCCATGCCGGCAATGATCGTTGTTCTGGATCTCCGTGATCTGGTCCTGAACCGATACCAACCTGTTCGAACCTGCTGATCCAAGAACTTCCGTGCCGGGGTCCTTCACTCTCACACCCAGGAACTGCAACCGAATCTTGGCCTTGTTGCGTTTCGTGGCTGCAATCATGTTCCCTTGGAACAATAGCTGAAGTCTTTCATTGTACACTCTCTTCTTCTGTTGCTCATCGGTCCTTGAGACCGCTTCGGTGATGCGTCTGCTTTCATGGGTCCATAGTGGCTCATGCCTCACCAAGTCTTCGATCATCACCCACCCTCCTTCATCACATTTGATGACCTGTTGAATGCCACCTGGCACCTGTTGTCAAGCCATTCCGAGCCTGGGCGCCTGGCGATTCTGTGGCGCAAGTCAGATTGGATGCATGATAGCGCCCAATCCGCGTTCAGTCTGCGCTGACGGGTGATGTTGCGAAGGACAACTTCGTTCACGATGTCCCACCGATTGTTGATGAAGCTTGCACCCTTGGTTGGGATCAGGTCGAGAATCCCGCACCGGATTGGCCTTCCGCCGCCGATGGATTCATAGCCTGGATTGGTGTAGCTATGAGTGTTTTCATCGTAAGCAAAGCTAGGACGGTCTCCTCGTTGAGGTAGGCGTCGGTCGCGATGGTCCGAAAGCTGCTCAATGATGTCCACCACTCGCTGGCTATTCTCTGGTCCCGATTCCTGCAGTGGTACGCCACAAGCATCATGTAGGCCCCGACGATTCTCCACATCCGTGCAGAGATTGTGTTTGTTCTCATAACGGATCAAGACCACATCACCCCGTACGGCTTCGCCTCCGCGTCGCGGTCGGGCTTTGGCCTTGGGTCGTCGGTCCGAGGATGCAACACTCACATGATCTGTGGTGTCAACGTCCATTGGCTCAGCCTCTTGTGTAGGTACTCGACGTGGATATCGAAGAAGACTTTCCTTGATAATCTGGACGCCTCGAAGTACCAGATCCCGGGTTGCAGCATTTTCTGTGCAATTGGGCAGAGTGTGTAGATCACTGCCACAAGCGACACAGAACGTGATGCGGTCGCTTCCGACTGACATTTCGCCCTGAGCGAGTACGCCCACATAGTCCTGAAGCTGCGCGACAAATCCTTCACGAATTGCATGCCTGGGATCAGGGCCTTCTGCACCTTGTTCTTCTTCGGGTTGCGCATCCACATCTACATCCTGTGCAGGTATTGGTGGAGCAACTGAGAACCCTGGATCGTCCGTGACGTTGTCAGCGGCCTGTGTCTCGTCGGTTCTCGCAATCTCTACAGGGTAGATATCACCATCGACGATCACTGTGAAATCAATCACGAGGTCAGCGGACATGTTGTTGACGATCTCAGCGACTGCTTCATTCTTCTTGGGCGGTGTCCTTTTGCGCGGGGAGTCAACCGTGATCAGCTCGATGGCTTCGGCCGACGCGTAGCGGAAGAATGATCTTTCGATTCCTCTCGCGCACGCATTTGCTCCCTCAAGGCCACCCCAATTCGGAAAATGACTTGGGTGTCTCATTGCAATTGTAAGAAGCCCGAGCGCCAGCTCCACTGTGTCACCCAGGAGCTCTTCCTTGGGCAAGACTGACCCTCTGTAGCATTCTTGACGCTCTTCCGGAGTCAAAAGCATCCTCATGAAACCAGCATAAGCGCAGTTCCCGGCATCGTAGTAGCAGATGTAGCATGTCTTGCCTTCGGAGTCGTACCCTC